TGTGAATATTCACTGATATTCATATGAAACTGTTGACTTGTTTCGATGTGTAGATTTAGCCCCTGAAGTATTGACGTGCATTTTTTAAACACCCCGTATAATATGTGATCGAAATACAATTTCTCTTTTCTATAAGTATTATGATTAAAATAGAATTTCCGCCTCCGATAGTTGTGATAAATAACGGAAGTAAATTTTCTTTATTGTTAATTGTTATAAGCATCCCAAATAAATATTGCTCATCTATAATATAAGCAACCGAAATAAATTTTTCCTTAACGATTATTGTTATAAGGAACCTGAAATAAATTTTACTTCAACAATGACTGTTATAAACAACCGGTATAGAGTTTCTCTCAACGATTACTCTCATAATCAATCGAAACTTTCCCTCATCAATAATGATTATGGACAACGAAAACAAATTATCGGTCACATACAATCATTATTTAAAAAACATTGAAATCGTAACAATAATTTTTATACAATGACCTCTTTCACGTCGATTATAACAGTTATAGCCTCTGTTTTCTGTCACTGGAAACATTTCATTTCGTACCGCGCTATACGATTCGATTTTACAGTTATTGCAACGTTTCTAACGTTGAACCACCTATAACAGAAAGTTCCTCGTACAAATTTTACGTGTCGCAGCACGTAACAATAATGTGATACGCTGCATTAATTTTACGGTATATTCGATAAAAGAATGAAGTTCATCAAATTATAGAAATTCTAAATTATAGGGCACTGTGTTCTGCACTAAACGTAATGTTACTGTAGTCTTCATAGATGTTCGATGGTGGAATTCGATGTCGTGTAGAAGTGGAGATCGTAATGGATCATGTTTCTAATAAAATTGTTTGGTACACTGATTTCCAATATATTCGACCGTACCTGTTCGTGGTTCAAATATTTTATTGTTAAACGGATATATAAAAATAATAATCATAATAATCTCGAGTTGCTATAGTTTTTCAGTCTCTAGCAGTTATAGTTTAATATTATATAATATTAAACTATAAAAATATATTAATATATTTGTATATACAGGATGGGTCATTTAACCCTATCACCTTCATTTTTCTTGTAAATTATATCTTGTGTGAAAAAATGTTTCGAACGAAAGTTTCTTGGCATAAATGCAATGTAATATAAGTGTAATTTGTAATTGATTACATACATTTATTCAAAACACATA